CACGATAGCAAACGGAAAAAAGTCACAGCCGTTGTAGATCCCTCTCTTTCGTGTGCTGTCATTTCTGGAGAAGGGCACGAGAATGAGGAAAACGCAGAGGTTGTGAGACTCCACCCATCCACTGATCGCGGAACACGGTCCCTTTTTTGCAAAGATCTGAGTCTGAGGAATCCTTGTCACAATCACTGTGTTCCGTTGTCGCAGCGGATGTAGGCGAAGCTCTGTTTGTAATGAAAATCTTGCGCCCGCCGTTTTCCGCATTCTCCTAGATTTACTGCCATCACGAGAAAAATCTGCCAGCGAAAAAGGGATCGAAAGTTTTGAGAATAGCAGTGGACTCACTCCCGGATGAATTCCTCGTTCTCTCAAGGCTGTATTTTCGAATCAGACTAGATTATCCTTTTTCAGCACTTGTCAACGCTGAAGTGGGCAAATTCTCGATGTTCCGTGGCGAATTTGTCGGCAAATCGTCATAAGAATCGACAGTCTGCCGCTGTTCCATATGATAGCAATCGAGTGATAATGCAAGTTATTCCTGGTGTGGAAGGGAGTGACTACGTCAATGCCAGCTGGGTGGACGGTTATCGGTAAGTTTGGACCTCATCTGTTCAGTTACACTCATAACTATCGCCTATAAACTCAATGTTTTAGGGAACGGTGTGCTTACATCGCAACGCAAGGCCCTACGGAGCAAACGGTCGCCGATTTCTGGCGGATGATATGGGAGCATGATTGCGCGATAGTCGTAATGCTCACAAAGACGTGGGAGATGGGCAGGGTTAGTTGCAGCTTTTTGATAGCCATGAAAAAACACTTGTGAAACTTCTTATTAGCCAGAATCCACGGTAAGCTGACCAGTTAGCATTGATATTCGCTGTTGTAGGGCTGTAGAGGTACAGCGAAACCCATCAGGAGGTGGAGGTGTTGGTTAGCCCCAAAAGATATCATTTGTGAAATGTTGGTTGTTCTTGTTTCACGCGCGGCATATACTCCTTTTTCCTCAACCCTGTTGGTGGCCCTGCCCGGCGAAAATGCTATATCAGATAGCTGACTCGATCCTCGACGGCAAAATTTCCGGGCAAAGAGGGTCGTACCGAAGGGCCAATCTGGCGGGTGTCGTTCCTCCATCCCACCTATCCCGATCCTGTCTGTAGCGTTTGAATAGTTGTCTTTAGAAGTCTTAGCAGCGGAGCGATCCGCGCTAAATAGAATAATGGACTGGAGCTCTCCTCTTTGAAGATCTTTGGAATCACCCCTCAAGGATGACGACCTTGCTGGCCAAAAAGTGGGCGGAATCAGGCCTATCACTATATCTTCCTCGTCTTTGTACCCCTCCACATTGAACTTCAAAGAAGGGGACTATGCCACTAAGGAAGGCGTAATGGTGGGCCTGACTTCGCCTGTGTGATCAGGCCGTGATTACCCCTTGAAGTTAGTGTAAAGGCAAATGCTGGCTCTTTCGAAATCCTTTGTCTGTATTTAAATCTAGCTCGAAGTCAGGTGACCACGAGTGCTGGGCATTTCGCAGGAGGGCTGAGGCACACTTGTTTTGTGGATAGGGATGGAAAATAAATTGAATCTGAGGGCAGCTGAAGGGCTTCTCACACATTCTTAGGAAAGTTTTTTCGATGCAGCTTTCAGGATAGCATCTAGGGATTCTGGCTAATATTTCAAAGAAGCTACTACAATCACCACTGATTTCTACTGATTTCAGAGCCGATGTTGTGAATACTGGCCACAAGAGACGGGAGCACAAGTTGGACAGTTGGTGGTTGAACCGATTGCCGAGTACAACATGCGAGAATATATTCTTCGTGAATTCCGTCTCAGTGATGTTCAGGTGAATATCTTTTCGACTTTGACCCTTTTTGTGGGAAACTGGGGATTTGAGTACCTTTATTCTATCCTTTGCAGTCCGGTATCACGCGTACCGTGCGACATTTCCAATATACGGAATGGCCAGAACAGGGTGCTCCAAAATCGGGCGAAAGCTTCTTGGATTTAATCCAACAGGTAATTTTGTTTGTTAGTTTCGGGAGAAAAATCTATCTTATCAGAAAATCTCATCTTTTAATTACTTTTGATCCTCTATCAAAATGAGCGTTGCAAGCATCCCATGGCAATAGCGTTTCTTCTTCTTCTTTTAGGGTCTCATTGCGATAGGTCGCCACAGCGTGCGGGTCAAAATGTCCGAGTTGCACTCGCAGACGCCAATAGCCTCAGAGGGGCTTATTAAAAGACAGACCCCCTCATCACATGTTGTAGATAGAGGCATTCAATTACACTCCCCAAACGATTTTTCTGAAACCCTTGTCAGCCTCGCTGTACGAGTTCTGCGGGCCTGCTATTTTATGACAGCAAAGCGATATCCTACCGCTCCTGGCTCACTCAGGATACTTCGCGTCATACAGTGACAATTTTATACAACAGAAAAAAAACGAAATACACGAAAACTATATTGGTTAGAGAAAATGAGTGGCCTTCGAGTTTTGGTGGACGGGAGAACTAGAGAGGCGTCTGAACTGCCACTTATGAGGCCGCAGCGCCTTCGGTACTCACTGTGAAGCTGGGAATGTGGGACAATCTCAGAGACTGCGGACCTGATTATTTGAACAAGGGAGGACGCCTGCGAATCTGTTCTCACTGTCAGAGGACTCATTGTGTAAAACTCGAACTTATAACGAAGATAGCGGTTTTGTATGAGCTTGAAAGAGGCAAAAGCGATCCGGAGTAGGATAAACCGATTCCATTCATGGTAATCCCATAAGCAATGCGATTCCCAGTTTTGCACTATGGGTCCTTGAAATGCTTTTCCTAGGTTACTATGTCCCTGGCGCGGCGGAAAACGGCAGATTATGAAGGTTAGAATTAAGAGTTCCGTTATCTGGTAGTATGCCTTCTACATGCATCAAGATGTGGCTATTTATAGCCATCATCAGTGATTATTAATCGCGAGTATCACGGTCTACGCAGAGTGGCACGATTTAAGGGAAGGGGGTGTGAATGGAGAAGTCTAAATTGCGGCGATGAGGGGAAGGCACCGGCGCGAATAGTGTGTCGCATGCGGCGTTAGCACAAGAGCCATGACTGACTTGGCAGGAGAACGGTGCAGAAATTTGGGACAGTTAGCTAGGAAATGCTGCGATCTTGTTTCTCTTTGTGTCATTCGGATCTTCTGTCCATCAAACATCATAATTCAGATGAGATGTCAGCCTTTTTTTGTAAAAGCCTCGTAAAAATGTCTTATCAGTTATTTTTCTTTTGTATTTTATATTTATAGACTGTTCCATTTATCTTGGCAGTAAATGAAACGAATGAAATGAAATGAATGAGAGATATTTCGCATTGTCCTGTTTCAGGTGCATCGTACGAAAACTCAGTTCGGAGTTGACGGTCCGATTGTGGTCCATTGCTCTTCTGGAGCTGGACGAACGGGTGTATTTATTGCATTGTCGATTATCATCGACCGAATGCGACTGGAGCATGTCGTCGACGTGTTCACAACGGTGAGTGGACTTTCGGTTCTTGTTGCGCAACTTCCAAAGGAACATCCCACGCTGACCATGTGGGCGGAGTCACTCAAACTTCTTTGACCTTCGCATTGATGAGCTTTTCCTTCTCATCAATACACCAGTAGCAGCCTTACCGTGCACTAAGCCAAATAAACGGCGCCACCAGGCTATATCGTGGTCATGGTGGAGTGGTCCAAGTGACTCCGCGTATGTCAGCAGAGTGAAATGCGCCTTTAGCTGCTTGTCAGGGCATGTCGTTCCCTGGGGAATCTTCAGCGGGGGAGGTCGTATATGGTCTCCTTTAGGGTGCTTGAAAAATTTCCTTAATAGTTGACTTTGCCTTTTTGCGCGCGCTATCCACAAAGTTGGGAGAACCATTGGGCAGGGTGCCGTGGTTACTGTTCCCTTCAAAAGAGGGATCGTATCGCCTACCCCCCCCCTCCCCGTCCTAGTTGGCGGGCGCAAGTCAAAGAAAGTCCAGACATATTATTATTTTCGATAGTTGAATTCAGTGGCTGTTCGGTAGCGCCCCTCCCCACCACCCTCACTCGACGACAAAACTTTGAGGGAAACTTGTAAACTCTTGTAATATTATGAAAAAAAGTGGTGAGAAGTTGGAAAAAGTCAGTAAGATGGTAGGGAGCATGTGGAGAGGGGGAGTCGTACAAAGCGAGATGTTATGGGGTCCTATTTTGCAGAACATTTCCCTCCCGAGAAGATGTTCCTTGTGTGTTGCTCTGGTTTGCCGCTCTAGTGCTTGGGCCATTCCAAGAATATTTCTCAGCATCGTTTTCTATAAGGTTGCAATTTTTCAGGTGAAATTGTTACGAACTGAACGGCAGAACATGGTGGAAGATACAGAGCAGTACCACTTCCTTTATCTTGCCGCCTTGGAATTTCTTTCATCGTACGAGCACTATCCGACAGCCTAGAATCGCCCATAATCATTTCCCCAGTTTCCCGTTCCCATTCCCCGATTGCACATAACTCCCAGTGGCCTCTCTGTTCTCACCTGTTTTGTTGCACCTGTCCAGTGCAATGTGTCACGGGTATTTTCTATTTGTATCATTTCGTTGCACGACTGTCACCATTGTCTCTTCGTCGACTACGGGTAGCGTTGATCCATTTCTGATTCTGTGTCTTCGGCTTGTTGTTTTTTTACTAAATACTCTCTCTATTTCGCTTATTTATTTGTATGTATATTGGTATTCGATCTGAGCTGTTCTCTAAAAAATGACTAATTTTGCTTAATGGGGGCGGGGCGAAAGACGATCTAATCGATCTTTCGCTCGTTTTCGTTTGTAACAATGTTTTTTGTATTTTCCTTTGCTCATTTTCTACTCTCTCAATCAGTGAGCCTCATCCCTGCGCCAACAATTTGGGGACCATTTCCTATGGAAGAGATATCGGTCCCCCACGAGCTAACACTATTTTGCAAAGTTTGTTTAGAGATTGTTTGAAGTTGACATATGACCTTTATAAGACAAAGTCTAAAGTGATCTTCAATAAAGCTATTATATAGTTGATTCGATTTTTTTTGGGAAAAAGCCTTTAGGACCGCCTAAGAATATCGCACTCTATCATCAACTGAGCTTCGCCTGTGGTGAAGGCATGTCTTGAGGGGTGGTACTGGTCACTGAGCCTGACGCTCCAGCGCTGTCTCCTACAAGACCCCGTAAGATAGCGCAGGATCTTAAATTCACTTCTTTCCTTCCTTGGCTGTCGTCCTACCCACATTTCGTAGCGCAGGATCTTAAATTCACTTCTTTCCTTCCTTGGCTGTCATCCAACCCACATTTCGACTCGAATGCGGCCCCTCTTGTAAACTCTGCCTTGCCTGTGCAGGGCACATTCTGCCCTCGAGGAGAAATCTCGCAGGGTGACATCCCGTTCAAGCTGTAGCGCAATATAGGTTCAGTGGCTCCTCCTTTTCCAGTGACTCCGCCTCCAGACTCCGCCCCTAATGACCGACTTCCAGTGAAAAATGAGATTGCAGGACGAAAAAGCATGATAATCGCCACTTGTACGATCGTAGAAATCTTATCGGTGAATCAGCCGTGCATATGAGGGCGTAGTTTTGGAGATTGATTGGGCACGTACAAACTGGGATCGAAATGGGGTTCTATCTAGGGCAGGTGGCATGTTTTTGTGCTTTTTTTTTGTTCACAGTCGAGTTACTCAACCCCTTGTCGTCTATATGGAACCCCCTAATCCACCATCTGAGATGGCGAGTAATCGCGTGCTTTGCCTTTTGGGACAGTCCACGCTCCCGAGCAATTCGCAACCGTCCTTCGTTGTACAAGTAATCTGGTACTCAGCCTCTAAGAATGTCCCGCCTTAACTGCTCTACAGGAAGTGACGAAGGCGCTGCGGCCTATAATGAAATCAGCGCCTGTAGCAGTATAGTTGTTCCGCCCACTGAAACTTGGAGGTTATTTTCTGTCACATGTTGAGTTTTTACACGTCGCATTTCAGTTTCAACACCGCGTTTTCGTTTTTTTTTTCCACTCTTAGATGGTCTATCCATTGGATGAGTTGAAGAAATGCAGTGAGCCAGAGCGGCAGGATATCGCTTTGCTGGCATAAAAAGAGCCGGTCTAGGGAACTCGCACGCTCAGCGATGCTCCTAGCGCCACGGAAGAAAATGGAGCTGAGACCGGTGCTGAGGTGGAAGAGGAAGCTGAAGAGGTTGATGCCGCTGACGAAGCTCAGCAGCGCGATGATGAGGCATGTATTACAAAGGCATATAAAATACGTGCAGTAGTTAGTCAAGTGAAGTACAGTGCCTACAATGTAGTTGTTAATAGTAAACTGTAAGTAGTTTCAGGGTTCCGAGTACATTCCGAGCAGCAGTGACTCCGACTGTAGCTTCGGAGCTCGGTTGCTCAAAAAGACGAAGGAAGCAGATTTGGCGAGATATTATCTCGTGCAGGGCGCCTTGCTGCTAACTCTGTTTCGTTTCTGTCCCCAATGCGGGCATCGGGTGGGCAGAACGCAACTGAGGGCAGTGGGCACTGCAGCTGTAGTTCGGTATGTATGTGACACGTGCTCCATTCGGCCCCCGACTGTGAAGAAATGGGCGAGTCAAGAGCGAGCCGTAGAACACCCCAGTGAGCGCAAGTATAAAGGGAACGTCATCGCAGCCGTATCCGCCATAACTACCGGCCTGCGATTCGTGGTTAGTAGTAGATGTTGTTCGATGAACTAGAAAATATGAAGAGTACTTGCGGAGTTCAGGAGCTGGAACGGTGGGCTCAGCAGATGGGTCTGGCGATGTTTTCACGAACATTCTTTTACGGAATATTTGAGTGGACAAAGCCAGCCATCGAGTCAGTGTACCGCGCTCACCAGGGGTTCGTGATTGATATGGTGAAGAGAGCTTATAAGGTAATGCGGAGGAGTTTGCAGACATTCTCTCAATAACTATAATCTTTATTGAATACAGGAGGGTGAGGGTCTTCATGTGGCTGCAGACGGAGCCTATGATAGCAGAGGATACTCGGCCATGATTGGCAAAGTGGTGGTGTCTGATCTGCGCACTAGGCTCGTTCTCCATACAGGAGTGCTGCATCGATCTGAGACTGGTGAGGTGACAAAGAGTATATGTCAACATACGCAGGAAACAGATATTCCAGAGAACATCAGCACGCGTATGGAGATAGAAGGAATTGGGCGGCTACTGCGATGGATGAAGGAGGAAGGACTTCTAGTATCCTCGACCGACCGTAGCCGTGCACTGGGTGCCGCTCTGCGCCACATGGAGCCTGAGCTCGGTGCCATCCGCCATTACTACGACGGATGGCATCTTGTGAAGTGGTTGGGCAACGAGCTCAGGAAGGTAAGAGGTAGCCATTCACGCGATGTGGGAACAACGATGACGTAGTTTCTTTTGCAGGCATCGAAGAAAGTGCGATGCGATAGGATTGCTTTGGGCGGAGAAGGTGAAATCGCACTTATGGACAGCAATACAGCAAAGAGGAGCGTGTTCAGGAGAAGAAGTTAGGGCCATGTTCAACATGTCATCAAGCATGTAGCTGGCTTGCATGAGTGGCCTGAGGTCTCCGATTCTCTCTACTAATTGCTATCACTTGATGACTGAGGAGCTTTCAGGACGAAGTGACAGGGCCGTATACCTCCTGCGCACATGCTCCTCTTCCAGGTCCGCAGCCCGGAGACATGAGTATGGATAGCGAGGCATATAGAAAGTTCCGCGAGGTCGTTCTTACTGAGTCTTTCCAAAGAGATTTGGTAAAGGTCAGTCCGTATGGAGGCACCTCCATATGCGAGACTAAGAATGCCTTGGATAGAATTTACTGCCGAAAGGAGATATTCTATCCAATCGAGACCTACCCCCTCTTACACCATGATGGCCACAATGCACATCAATACATTGCGGTTAGCTGAGATGAGCGGGGAAAGGACGGTGGTGAGGACATGCAACATCCAGCGGAAGTACCTCAGGAGGAAATCGAAGCTGGTTCGTTAAAGGCACAGTTCGCGACCGCAAATTGCGGGAACTCAAATAGGCACAAAAAAGTGCTAAGTATCTGATTAGCGGAGAAAAGCAGCAGAAAAAGCAGTCCGAAATGTTATAGAGAAAGATAACATAGTGGCTACTAGCTAGTAGCTAGCAGCCGGTGAGGGGCATGGGCCTAAGGGGTGTCCATGGGCCTAATTAGTCAGCTTCTAGCGGAGTTCTTGCCGTTTTTCACATTTTGAAAGTAGCGCAGCCTAAAAAATCGCCTTCCGTATCGTCCGACACATTTGAGAGGTCATAGCCTTCTTTTATTGCGGAATGTGCCTTTAAGTCCAAGCCCAAACACCTTTGGAGAGACGTGGTACTGAGCGAGGTACTCAAGGAACGTCTCATGTCCTTGGAGGCTAAGAAACGAGGTGTCTCGCCCAAGTGGGTTGCGGATCTGATGGCTGCCGAAGATGAGTACGAGTTAGAGCTGTGACTCGGTAAGAAACATACATTCAACTCTTATTATCTATTTCTATCACCCTTTTCACAAACAGCCGTTGTCCCATTCAACACTTTCCCATTCTTGAGGAGCTCCCTAAAAGATTTATCCAAATACAACAGCCTGAGGTGGACAGCAGCAGAATATTACCTTGGTACTCCTGTACTTGAGGGGAAAGCGTCCATAATAGCCCCCCGTACGCAGGCCGGGAGCTCATATCTTCTCCCGAAACCGAGGCGTCCATAACACCGACCCAACATAATGCGCCGTAGGCGCAATAACGGCCCTCAGGACCTGAATAGCACACATTTCAGATTGCAGCCAGCTTTTTTGAAAGAAACCTCGCCTGTTTTCGTCCACAACTGGTGCCTTTGCCTTCTTCCTTTCCACCCTTAGGTTGACCAGCAGTACGCGAAGCGTCTGAATTACGTGCAAAAATACCTGCACCATCGGCTATCAGATAGGCTACCTCAGGGTCTAACACCACTTTATGAAACGAAGGATGCTGGTCAATGCATTCTCCACCGTCCTTCAACTTTTTTCTCTAAGCCGCCTCTCAACGCTTTCCGTGCCCCTGTCCTTCTTCCAGTGTTCTCGAACGCAGAAACGTTCTCGCGATCCTGGTGAAGACGACTTAACAGCGACCCGCCCGAGCGAGGCACGCTGTTTTCCTGCCTGGATGGGGGTAGTTCCTACACAGAAGAAGGCATGACCTAAAAACACACTCATACTTATTGATTTCTATATTGATTTCTCACCTTTCATTATCTTTAGCCTTTCTTCGTGCCTCCCTCTCTCTCCACCAGTTCCGGATCAGGATTCCCCATCGCAATGGGACATGGGATTCCCCTACTGGATTCCATCACTGAAACTGGACTACAGCTGCGCTACAACACAACTTCGTCAGAAGGTGAGAAAATTCAATTTAACGAAATAAATCAAGAGTGACTGGAAGTGCACTACAGTGT